TTTTATGCTAGATGATTTTCTTGATATAGATTTATTTGTTAGTTATTTGGTGGCTGTTTCCCAACTACTGTCTCAGGCTTAACCTCAGACCTACCTACATGGGTCCTGCAAACTGTAAGTCCTGGCCTAGCACAGGACTACTTGAAGTCCTGGCCCAAATTGTAAATACCAAGCTGTCATCATGAAAACAGTTACCGAACAAAGCTTAAAAACAAAATGTATGTGAATGGATCTGCAATTGGCATCCTTTACTGGGAATTTTAGTTTCCATTTGTCCAAATTCCTATGATTTTTATTAGAATATTTTCATAGACTTTCTCCCCTGAAATCAATAAATATAAATATATACATATATTTAGTTCTGTTTTAAGATTATTTTTATGACAGTAGCACATAAAGCAAAAGCACAGGGCTGAAAAGGCAGCAGTCAAATAATGTAGTTAAACATAACCTTGATTAACAAATCTTGTTATTCATGGATGACAGCTCAGTTAATAAGTGTTTGTGGCTTGGATACTGAAGTGGCGGTTAATGCTGAAGTGGAAGCAACTGTAGAATCCAGATTTTTAAGACAAACATACATCACACCTCAAAAGGCATGCATGGAATCAGATGTAGTTAGTCGGCTGTGGTGATGTACTTTGGGTGTTCTCCTTCACTGGTCCAGCTGTGAACAGACTCCAGAGCTGCCAAATCAAGGAAAGAGGAATGACCCTTCACTGCCCACTTCCGCATTCATGATTTGAATGGCCAAAGAGTAGCTTGTGGAAAAGGAGTATTTTTATTTGAAACTTTTTAAAGTTTTATTTTGACTTCTCTAAATTAGATTTGTAGAACAGATAGTTTAATTATATAGTTACAAGAGAGCACATGTCCAAACTTAACTAATATTTATAACTATCTAACTTGGCCTTCAAATGTCAATGGTATGGAGTCAGACCTCTCCCTAAACTTTATGTGCATTTAAAGCAAAATGAATGTGAGACATGATTTAAAAACTGCACTGTTCATTTGACATGAAGGGACATTTTTATGTTGAAGAATCTGAAGCATTGGTACATTCCTTAACTGATTGCCTTTCCTCCCTGTGAGATGGATTAAAAAGCAGATTTTTTTCATTTCCACTAGTGATCAGGTCAGGGCTGAAAGTAAATAAGTATCTGAGGAAGTGGATAAGTCAGTCATATCCTTAAAAGGCACTGAAAGAATGTGGGAAGACTTTGTCTTTTTCCTCCTTTATTCCTTGAGAGACAAAGAAAAAGAATCGACATCTAAAACATGTAACCTTAAAATCCTTTCTACAGTCAGAAGCCAAAGCTGGGTGGCAATTTGATCAGAGATTATGCCCCGGCGGTGTCATGGGTCATATGTTCAGCATGTGAACAGGAAGGTGAGAAGTGGTGAACTTTTGCCTCAGTTGTGCCATCCATCAGAGAATAAATAGACCAAATCAACGTGTGCAGCTGTATAAGGAGATGAGTGGCTGAGTACTTCTCACACAGGGGCCTTTGTGTCCTGGACATGATCTAGCATTATGATGGGATGCACTGGGCCTGGGCTTTGTGGCAAATTACTAACCCATTATCACACCAGAACACAAGATCATTTTTCTTCTAATCCAGAGTGTCACCTGTTCTTCATTTACCAGTCAATAACCATTAATTATGCTCAGTGGAAATTTAAACAAAGCCCTTTCTCTCTGTTAAAACCAGTAAACTATTCAGTAATAACAAATAAATCTGGAGTTGTATATCCTTTCCCTTCCCATTCCCAGACTGGAGTCTGGTACAATATGAACTTTAGAGGAAATGCCTAGAAATTGATAGGTCAAAGGCTGCAGATAGTCTTATGGAAAAGAAAAGAGCAGATTCTTGGCATTCGCTCCAGTGAAAGTGAGAGGCCTCTTCTGATCCCCAGATTCCTGAAAAAAAAGCATCAGGGATTGTGCCCAGCATTTAAAGTAATCTACCATTAACCAGTAATCATATTTTCTCCTTTCATTTTTAGCAAGACTTTGCTTTCTTTCACATGACTAAAAATGTGATTTTTTCAAAACCATTCTAGCACAACATAGTGTTTTAAAAGAAATAAAATAAGCTGAGCGGTCCTGAAAGACCCATTTGAAATGTCATTTTTAGAATGGAAATTTGAGTAAAACACATTAAGTATATACACTAATCCCTCAGAAAAATGTTCAAATAGAAATTCTAGCCAGAAGCATAATTTAATTTTTCCTAAAAACTTTGGAAGTATTTTGAAGAAAGCCAAAACAAGTTTGTGTGTCTGTGTGTGCGCGTGTATACGTTTTTGTGCTCGAGTAAGGTGGGCAGGTCAGCTTAGTTGGGGAAGGGTGGCCAAAGGGCAGGCTCAGTCTCACTGAACCCAACCATGCTGTGTGCCATTGATCACAGGGAAACCCAGGGAGATAACAGGAATTTGTTTCAAGGACCAGGCTTGGGGCTCTTTTACGCGATTGAGAAGGAGAGGTCAGAGTTCCCACACAGATGAGGAAGAGGGCATTCTAGGCCATGGCCCTGCATGTGCAAGACACAGACAGGAAGAGCCGGTCCTCTACTGGGCCTCTGCTAGAACCAGTGTGCCTTGGTGCCCATTACAAAGAAGCCCTCTCTGAGGAGCTTAACAACAAAGGGTGCCGGGCACAGGGCTTGGCCAGCAGAGCTAGGCTGCATTTCAGAGCACAATCGTGTTCTCGGCCTGGAGCGGGTAATAGCGTGCAGCGGCCCTGAGTTCAGGAAGCTACAAACTTTTGTAGACTGTGCTGCATAGGCTTTCCTGATAAAGAGAACATCTAGTATATTGTGCCTTTTTAAAACTGAGCTTTATTATTAATATTAATAAAATGATTATAAAATTTAAAAAGTATTGTGATTAAATTCATCAAATCTCTTATTGCAAAATGAAACTGCAGATATTAATGTGAACAAAACTCTCCTAGCCAAGACAATTTCATCAGTTATTTTTTCAGTAGATCACTGACCCGACTCTTGCCATTGTCCCACCCACTGTGCCACATCTCTGAGGCATGTAAAATTGTCCAAAGTCTCATCTTCCATAGAACAAAAATATGATTTAAAACAATCTTATGGTGGACCAAAAATACAAAATACTCAGAAGAAGTAACTTCAAGTTAAAGAGAAACATTTACTTTTTTTTTTTTTTTAATTTTTAGAAGGCTGCCACAAATTCAAATGAACAAAAAGGAATTAAACTTTTTTGGTTTCATTTTCTAAGAGAAAAGCTGCCCCGTTGATTTTAGCAACCGGCTTTTCAGCTTATCCAGTAGCAGCTAGGGAGACACCAACCAAAAGTTTTCTTTAAATGTTAGAACAAGAGTTCAAGTCATATAATATCGGGGACTGTGTTATAATGAAGTACCTATTATTTTTACCTATTATATTTTGAAAAGTGGGTGGGAGTGATTAAGAAAACTTTTTTGGGGGGGGCTTGGACTTTTCTTAAAGAGACATGCTGTTGTCAGATACCAACTACACTTAATTTTTTTTTAATCTGCATTTTCGATCTGTATAAACAGAACCTTTAAAATTAATGTGCAGCTCCAAACTATAGAAACTATAGGCCTGTATACTGTTGGTAAAAACTGATATAACTCTGTAGAGCCAGGCTGTGACGGTTGCTACAGTGTGTGTCTTAGACATGCAGCTGCATTGTTGCTCAAGTGAACTTCTCATTCCTATTGAAAAAGTCACCTGTATTGAGCACCTGACCTTAAAATGCTGCCTGATGAAATCCTTCAGCGATTCGCAACCTTTTTGGCACCAGGGACCTGTGCTCCTATGAGAAACTAACATCTGATGATCTGAGGTGTAGCTGAGGCTGTGGTGGTAGCGTTGGGGAGAGGCTGCAAATACAGATGAAGCTTCGCTAGGTCACCTGCCGCTGACCTGCTGTGCAGCCCGATTTCTAAAAGGCCACTGACCGGGTACCAGTCCACGGGCTGGGGGTTGGGAACCCTTGCCTTAACTGATGCAGACGTTCTCATTGCCCCTCAGAAATATTTTTAAAAGTAATAGTACTATTCATTACATGATTGTTTTTCCATTAATGATTCTTGAATATATTCTTTTTGATGTCACCACAATGGTAAAATTTTCAACTTTGTTGTTAAGAAATTTGGTTCTATTTGGGGGGACAAACATCTGTCTTTAAATGACTTTTCCTTACCTCCCATCCATGATATGAAGATATATTAGACCATACTTTCCAAACTCTTCTTAAATGTGTTATAGAAACATTATTTGCCACAGATTCTCTTCAACATCTTATTCCTCTAAATTGTAGTTCAAGGACCTCTGCATGAGTCATCTGGGATGTTAAGGATAAAGATGCCCAAAGCATGTTCTCTGCTGAGTCCAAACTTCTGTGACTGTGGCCCATGCATCTACACTGAACTGTTCTCCACATGATTCCAATGTTCATTAAAGTTTGAGAGCCACTACTGTAGCCATTAGAATATTGTATTAAATTCCTGGTTATTTTCTAGCTCTACATGTTAAAGTATTTAAACATGGAGACTATCAGACCAGGGTAGTACTTAATGTCTTGCTAGCCTGTGTAAGTAAACCAAAACCTAAACCAGAGTCAATTCACTCAAATCCAAGAAAATGAAACTTAAGAACAGCCAATCACAAGCAGCTAATTTGACTTTCGCAAATAAGACAACTGTATAAGCTATAGACAATCAAATAATTGCTTTGCTTTGCTTTGCTTCAGTGTCTACTCTTAAAAACCTTGTCCCTGGCTCTTGTTGGTGGAGCACTCCTAACCACCTTGGGTTTAGCACTGCCCTATTTGAGTAGAAGTATGATCAAATAAACACTTACAATTTTTAATATGCCTCAGTTTACCTTTTAACAGTATCCATGCCCAATTATTTGAGTTTGATAACATTAATTTTCCATGCGGCCACTGGGTGCAACTTTAATTTGGATTTGCCTCTCTCTCTCTCTCTCTCTCTCTAGGCTATGTGGCTGATGTTGCAGAATGATGAGCCAGAGGATTTTGTCATAGCTACTGGAGAAGTCCATAGTGTCCGGGAATTTGTAGAGAAATCATTTTTGCACGTTGGGAAAACCATTATGTAAGTATAACTGAGTGTTAATATCTGCATTCATCAAACATTTTCTGGCAGGTTTGTATATGTTCTTGTTATTCTGCCTCAGTTTTGTCTTTTTTCCCTTATTACTCTCTTATAAAGCATTACATGAAGTTTCAATATGGAGGGTCTTTGTTCTTTGCATCCAACCACAGTTATAGTCTATGTGAAATGTTTGTTGCCATCTAAGCAGTCTTTTTAAAATTTCTTTTGTCTTTATTTATTTAATATTCTTTCTTTTTAAAATGTTTTAAATTAATTTAATTTTAAATTTTTTATTACAATGTATATATGGTTGACTATGATGTTACTATGGCCAATATCATATTGATCTGGTAAGATCATGTTGCTCTTACCAGATCAATATGATAGCATTACACAATCTTTTTTAACACTTTAACTTGATATATTAAAATTTTTAAACAGTAAAAACTTACAGAAAAGTTTCAAATACATTATAAACAACCTTTTTTCTCTGAATCATTGCAAGTACATTGCCTGCCCCATTACCCAGGACTTTTGTGTGTCTTTCCTATAAACAGTGACATTCTCTCACATAAACACAATACAAACATCAAAATCAAGAAATCGATCATGATAAATTGCTACTGTCTAATCATCAGATCTGATTTACGTTTTGCTAGTTGGGCGAATGCTATATTTTATATCAAAATGATCCAGTTTATAATCGTGCACTACATTTACTACATTATACATTTGAAGTCAGATTTTTATTGGAATATTTGAAAGTTTCGTGGGAAATTTTTCATTATAGATGGAAGATTGGAAGAGTCTTCCTTTTTTGCCAATTTTTTTTTTTTTTACTTTGGTAAAATATATATATAACAAATTTTACCATTTTCATCATTTTTTCATTTTATTTTAAAATAATTTATTTTGTAATTACATTTAACATTCAATATTATATTACTTGCAGGTTTGCAACATAGTTATTACACATTATATAACTTAGAAAGTGATCCCCCGATAAATTTTGTACCCACCTAACACCATGTATACTTATTACAATATTATTGACTTTACATCCCTGTTCTAATTTTACATCCGTGTGACTATTTTGTAACTGCCAATTTGTACTTCTTAATTCCTTTACCTTTTTCACCCAGCCCACCATGCCCCCTTCATCTGGCAACTATCAATTTATTCTCTGTATCTATGAGTTTGTTTTTATTTTTAGATTCCACATATAAACAAAATAATTTGGTATTTGTCTTTCTCTGTCTGACTTATTTCACTTAGCATAATGCCCTCTAGATCTATTCGTGTTGTCACAAATGGTAATATTTGATTCTCTTTTATGGCCAAGTAATAGTTCATTGTAGATATATACCATTCTTCTTTGTCTATTCATCTTTCATCTTTTTTTAATAATTTTTTTTATTTTTCAATTGAAGTTGACATTTAATATTAGTTTATATTAGTTTCAATTGTACAGCATAGTGGTTAGGCATTTATATAACATTAAATGGCCCCCTGATAAGCCTAGTACCCACCTGACACCATATATAGTGGTTACAATATTATTGTCTACGTTCCCTATACTTTACTTTATATCCCCGTGATGACTTTGCAACTGCCAATTTGAACTTGTTAATCATTTCACCTTTTTCACCCAGCCCCTTTATCTCCCTCCCATGTGGCAGCCATCAGTTTGATCTCTGTATCTATGAGTTTGTTTCTGTCTTGTTTGTCTATTTTGTTTTTTTAGATTCCATGTGTAAGTGAAAGTAGATGGTATTGTCTTTCTCTGTCTTACTTCACTTAGCATAATACTCTCGAGGTTTATCCATATTATCGCAAATGGTAAGATTTCATTGTTTTTTTAATATTTCCTTGCATATATATACCAATTCTTCTTTATCCGGTCATCCATCGATGGATACTTAGGTTACTTCCATATCTTGGCTATTCTAGAAAATGCTGCAGTGAACATAGTGGTGCATATATCTTTTGAATTAGTGTTTTAGATGTCTTCGGATAAATACCCAGAAGTGGAATTGCTGGGTCTTATGGTGGTTCTATTTTTAATTTTTTGAGGAACCTCCATGTTGTACCAATTTGCAATCTCTTCAGCAGTGCACAAGGGTTCCCATTTCTCCACATCGTTGCCAACACTTGTTGTTAGCTGATTTATTGATGATAGCCATTCTGATTTTAAGGAATATACTTTTAGCTTCTCATTGTTAAGTATGATATTAGCTGTGGCTTTGTCATATATGGCCTTTATGACGTTGAGGTATGTTCTCTATATTCTTACTTTGCTGAGAGTTTTTATCATAAATGAAAGGTTTGAAAAGGATAGTTAATTTTTCTTTGAATGTTTGATAAAAGTCACCTGTGAAGCCATCTGGTCCAGCACTTTAGTATGTTGGGAGTTTCGATTACTGATTTGATTTTATTAGTAGTTATTGGTCTGTTCAGATTTTCTTTTCCTTCTAGATCAGAGTCCCCAACCTTTTGGCACCACGGTTCATGGAAGGCAGTTTTCCCACGGACCAAAGGTGGGGGATGGGGTGGTGTCAGGATGCTTCAAGCACATTATATTCATTGTGCACTTTATTTCTATTATTATTATATTGTAATATGGAATAAAATAATTATACAACTCACCATAATGCAGAATCAGTGGGAGCCCCAAGCTTGTTTTCCTGCAACTAGATGGTCCCATCTGGGGGTGATGGGAGACGGTGACACCTGAAGTATATTACTTATGTCCATTCTACTCCATAATCTCATTTTGGTTGCTGTCACTGCAGAAAACCCTGCTTCACAAAGACAGGGTGTTGGAAACGGAAGCAGGCTTTTCAGTGCTTTTGTGGCAATCTCAGGATAGTCCATCTTGACTTTAATTCAGAATGTATGGAGATTTGAAGTTGTCTCAAACATACTTTTAAGGCCACCTTCATTTGTGATCTCCAGCAGTTGATCCTCTTCTAGCATGGACAAAGTTAATTAACTCGGCTTATTCACAATTTGGTTGTGGATCCATTCCTTTCCAGTTCAGGGATCTTTTGTGGTTGGGAAGTAAAGCTCAAACTCTTTTGAAAGCTGAGATACGTGATCATGCACCAGCTGGGAGAGAGAAGGCCCTGGCTCAGTCTCTTTAAAAATCTTTGCTAATGTTTGAAATGTGTCAAAAATAGTAATGTTCACTTGTCTCCTCCACAATTCTAGTTTGGCTTTGAATGCAGCACTTTATCTGCTGACTTGAACATAGTTGTCATTCTCCCCTGAAGTGACAGATTGAGTTCGTTAAGCAGGTTGAATATGTCGCACAGGTAAGCAAGTTTTGAGACCCATTCTGTGTCACCGAAATGTGCTGCCAGTCGTTATTTGTTTTTCTAAAAGAAATCTCTAGAGCGGCCCTCAAAACTCAAAAACTCTGGCCAATGATCTACCTTTAGAAAGCTGTCTCACTTCCGTGAATAAGAGAAGATGTATGTGCTCTGCATCCAACTCCTCACAGGGCTGCACAAACAGACATCAGTTAAGGGAATGTACTTTAATGTGGTTGAAAATTTAATTATATCCTGCAAAATGTTGTTAAGTTTAGGTGACATTTTTCGGCTAGCCAGCATTTTCTTATGGATGACACAGTGCATAGACTGACATTCAGAAGCAACTTCTTTGACCTGAGTAGTGAAACCAGAAAGCCATCCAGTCATGGCAGCCGCTCCATCTGTGCATATACCTACACAAAATGACCAATTCAGTTTTCCTGATATGTAATTATTCGAAGACTTGAATAGTTCTGCAGCTGTGGTTTTGGTTGGCAATAAAAGTGCACATAACTTATCTTCATACACATCCTCCTGAAAAATAGATTGCACAAAAACAAGCATTGTTGCCTTGTTGTCAACATCGGTAGACTCGTCAACCTGGATTGCATGCCACAGTGACTCATTAATCCTCTCTAACAATTGTGCCTCAATATCCTCTGTTATTTCATCAATTCATCTGGTTACGGTGCTGGCCGAAAGAAGAACACATGCCACCTACTAAATTGCAGCCTCTCCTAAATAGTAAAGGGCTTCTTAGCTTTTAGCAATGTGGTTAGCCACTAAGAATGATGCTCTCAGTGCAGACACATTTGATGAAATGGTGGCCTTCAATAGTTGCTTCTGTTCTTCATGTTTGTTTTTTTCTTTTAAAAAACTCCTAAGGCTTGTCTTTTAATGCAAGATACCTGGTCTCCATGAGGCGAAGCAGTTTCGAAGGTTTCATGGCTTCCTTGGATAGCCAGTTGCCACATATTATACATAGTGGGCTTGGAGAATGTGAATCCATAATGAACCTGTAATTTAAGTAGGACCTTTGTTTTCTTTTCAATGCAGCTTTCTTTTTATGGTAGTCTTAGAGTCTTCTGCTCTCTCATCATGGGGTCTTTCCCCCTTTTCAAAGAAGCTCTCCAGCGATGTTTGTTTTTTACTCATTTTGGCTAGGGTTAGCTTGTGGGCTTACCAAAACAGTGATTGAGACAAATACTCAGTGTGGGAATGAGACGTGATGGAAGTGCTAAATAAAATAATGGGCAGGCCACACATAGACTGAAATAAGTGTCAGATTCTGACTTAACACCTGCCACCAGATGCAGCTTAATTGTCACTTGCCACTCACTGATAGGGTTTTGATATGGGTCTGCAAGCAATTGATTAATTTGTGGTCTCTCTGCCATCAAACCTCTCTGCTAAACCAGTGCTAGCATCACCACCTCAGCTCCACCTCAGATCATCAGACATTAGATTCTCATAAGGAGAGCATAACCTAGATCCCTCACATACTCATTTCACAATAGGGTTTGCACTAATAGGATTCTGCATAGACAATGCAGGACTATGATCCCTAGTAGAAAAGAAACAAATGAGGTGAGCATCGCAATCAACTTATTCTTCTTCCTGGGGTTGCAGTCTTGACCATGGAAAATGGAGTAAGAGCTTCAAGCAGAAAACAACTGTGTTCCTAAG